AGTCGTAGTCGTAGTCGTAGTAGTAGTAGTAGTAGTAGTAGTAGTAGTAGTAGTAGTAGTAGTAGTCGTAGTAGTATTAGTAGTAGTAGTAGTAGTAGTAGTAGTAGTAGTAGTAGTAGTAGTAGTAGTAGTAGTAGTAGTAGTAGTAGTAGTAGTGCCACAAGCATGACATACACACGATGCCACAAGAGCACAAGGTGGCGGACACAGAAACTCCAAAGTGTCCCGCGTCCACAAAATCCTGGACGCAAAAGTTTCCCCTATTGGACAACGGTTTGATTTCCACGAGAAGATGGGTCTCGTCGCACAATACGAAACGCATTAGAACGGCATCATAGCGGACATAGAAACACTCATCCTGGGGACCCCCGGGCGGCGCGGGACACCGAAACACCCAACGGGGACACAGAAACCCCCAGTTGGACACAGAAACAACCTGTCGCGAGGGGGGTGGGGGGGTGAAGCGGGGGGTGAAGGGGATGGGGGGGCGGGAAGGGGCCCCAGCGGCGCTGCCCTGGGAAGCCTGGACGGAGGGGAGCGGCCAAGGTGCCCACGAGGGGGCGGCCCAGGGGAGCTAGGTCCCAGGGGGGTGGGGAGCACGCCCAGGAGAGCTGAGTCTCAGGGAGGGGGGGGGGGGGGGGGCGAGGGGTGCGAACGACGCCGCGACGCGACGAAAATCCAGATGGCGGGCTCTAGAGCACAACGTGCAAGAGAGATAAATGGTTCCGTGACCCAGGGGTGCTGTCTTGGGAAGCCTGGGCGGAGGGGGGCTGCCAAGGGCCCGAGGGGGGGGGGGGGGGCGGGGGGAGCTAGGTCCCAAGGAATGGTGGGCCACGGAGGGGGGGCCAGGAGGGCTGCTCTGGGAAGCCTGGGCGGGGGGGAGCTGCCACAGGTCAGAGGGAGGGGGGGGGGGTGCGGAAGGGGGGGGGACAGGGTGCGGGATGGGGGCCCCAGGGGGCTGGCCTGGGAAGCCTGGGCGGAGGGGGGCTGCCAATGCGCCCACGGGGGGTGGCCCAGGGGGGCTCGGCCCCAGGGGAAGGGGGCGGAGGGGGGGGGGGGGGAGGAAAGGGGGGGCGCGCGCCCAGGGGAGCTGAGTTTCAAGGGTGGGAAAGGGGCGAGGGGGGTGCGAGGGGGGCGAACGACGACGCGACACGACGAAAATGAAGATGTCCGAGCTCTAGAGGGGGAGCCGAGGGGGGCGAACGACGACGCGACACGACGAGAATAAAGCGCTCCGTGGCCCAGGGGGTCTGCCCTGGGAAGCCCGGGCGGAGGGGGGGGCCCGAGGTGCCCACGGAGGGGGGGGGGGGGTGGGGGAGCCGGGGCCTCAAGCAGGGGAAGGAAAGGGGGGGGGGGGCGAGGGGGGCGAACGACGACGGACGCGACGACGAAAACAAGTGGCACGCGTGCCCTGGCTCTTGCACAAAGGTGTCCGAGGCTCAGGGGGGCTGCCCTGGGAAGCCCGGGCGGGGGGTGGGCAGGGGGGGGGGGGCAGGGGGGCGAACGACGCGACACAACACAACAATTAAGGTGTCCGAGGCCCAGGGTGCCTGCCCTGGGGAGCCTGGACGGGGGGGGGGGAAGGGGGGGGGGGCAGGGGGGCGAACGACACGACACGACGCGAAAATAAAGATGTCCGAGCTATAGAGCACAGCTGTGCAAGATAATTAAAGGAACAGTGCCTGGGGGGCCCTAAACAGGCCTGGATACTGGTCGATACTGACTGACACTGACGCTGACACGAACATCAAAAAGCAGCGAATCCTGTAGCAGAGACAGGACTGGGTCGAGCGGGGGCGACCCATGAAGTAGAACAGGAGGCGTGGTGCCTGGACTTCCCAACTGGGTACGCTGATGTTTGGGTGCGGCTTCTGATGGCGCCCAAGGGACGTGGTGTCGAAGCGCGCTGGATAAGAGCAGAACGCTCAACTCCAAATCGTCGGGCTGCCGCGACTCGGACCTGCGCCACAATTGGGGGGCTAGCCGCATCCGCGGCTGTTCGCTCACTTTGCGGTGCATCTGCTCACGGCTGAAGGCAGGCAAACTACCGCAGCCCGACTCGCGCGCCCCCGCTGCGCTGGCTCGCACAATCCCCAGAACGCGACATCTGGCCAACTGGCCTCGCGAGGTTAACGAACAGGAGGCGCGCGATCAGCAGGGTCTGCGCCAGGTGCACTTCTGATGCCCCCAGCGGCCCGAAAGCCCAGAGCAGGCGATGCCGCGCGAAGATGGCCATGATCCGCGGCAATATCGCCAACGTCACGAGGGAGACGAGCGTCAGGAGCAGGGCCAATACAAGCATTACGAGGGACGCTAGCAAGAGCAGTGTTAGCGCCGACACGAAGGACACGATCATCTGGAGCAGTGTCAGCGTCGCTCTTCCCAGTGGCGCGCGCGGCGCGGCGATGCCGGCCGGCTCCGCGGGAGGAGGGGCCTCCGTCGTAAGCGCGGCATGCAGCCCTGCACTCGCCGACGGCTGGCGGCCAGCAGCGGTCTTCATGACGGTGCCAACATCCGCGCGTGGCTCGGCCGTCGGGCCGAGCTCCTCCGCGGCGGCACGCGCATCGGCGCTTCCCCTCGGCGTGCCCACGCAGGCGCAGCTCCAGCACCTGGAACAAGACGCGCGCCAAGGAGGGCCTCATCGCAGATCTGGATGACAGCCAGAAGGAGTAGACGAACGAACGCCAGAGAAGGCTCCGAGATCTTGACACTGCCGATGGAGTCCACGATCAGGCTGGCCAACTAAGCGCCTGCCACTCACTGCCAGCAGATGGCCCACAAGCCGCCGCCTGGGCGTGCCTCACTGCCACGCAACAGATCCGTTGCCTGTGGCGTCATGCCGGTGGGCTCGCGCCCACGGGGCGACACCGCGGCGCGGGCATCACAGAAGACACTGTCGCCCAGGAGGGGCTGACGAGTGGAGGCTGAGAGAAATCTTGGCCGGTCGACGCGAAACGGCGACACCTCGGAGCCACCTGGGGGAGAGGACAGGAAGGCAGGGGCAGGGAGGAAGGATGGATGAGGTAGGGAGAGCGGGGAGGGCGAGGGAAGGAGGCGGAGAGAATCAATGAGCCAATGGGCACCACAGCCACTGGAAGAACAACAAAACAAACCAATTAACGAATCATTCGGGGGAGTCGGATGACATAGGAGGCGCGGCGCGCGCCCCTCCCCATTGGGCGCGCCTGCCCGTCGCCATTGTCGACGACGATGGGCGCGGCGGGGGCGGGGGCGCGCGCTCGTGCGCGAGCGCGCGACGCACGCGCTCCAGCGTCTCCTCCTCCGCTTCCGCCTGCTGCTGCTTCTCCGGCACATCCTCCTCTGCAGGCTCTAGGGGTGCCCTCCCTGGTCGCCTCAGCCATTCTCGGGCTCTGAGTTTGGACGGCCGCCTTGGGGGGCCGGATGGGATGGGCACTTGCCCTTCCTGAGCCTGGCGAGGTCCTCGCTTCCCTTCTTGGCGGGCGGGTGGCGCGCGTCGGCTAACAATCTGCCGCCCACAGTGGCAGTGGAGCCGCGCGCGCTGCAAGACCACGAGCTGATTCCAGGCCAACGATGAAGTGGGTGGGCATGGTGCACCTTGACTGACGCAATGCGCACAGCGCCCTGGACCGCTCGAAACGTTTCTCCGCGGCCCTGGCGGGGGGGGGCCATGGCAGGGCAAGGCGCGAAACTGAACCAGTCCAGAGGCAGGCACGATCTGAAGGCACACGTTGCATCTCCACCGATCTGCGCACGGCTCACACTTGCGTGAAGACTCAGCAACAGCGCGGACAAGCTTACTCTGTCTAGAGTCCACGACCTTTCCCTCTCTGGTGGAACCTCAAGGGCACAGCGAAGGGCTCAGCGGGCCCTGCGCCTGACAAACATGGCGGGGGAATCGTGCTTTTCGGCGCGCGGGGCAGGGCACTTGTCCGCGCGCGCACTGCCTAAAGTGAAACAGCGCATGCCTGTCTGAGAGCACTTGCTCGCTGTCTTCGAGGTGGGCGGTCGCCCGAAGAACGCCGACAGACTGGGGGCCACGGTGTCGAAGAGCCAGTGGCCCTGCACCCGCGATACCGATTGGGCCCGAGCTTTCCCCTGGCACGACCAGCTTTCCACCCGCCCAAGACAGGCTGGCAGTCGACGACGCGGGCGACCCCTGGGACTGCTCGAGGGTGAGCGCCAGCGCAATGATCCCCGCTCTGGGGACAGTACGCCTGGCGCCCAAGAGGGGAACTGTGATGCCACGAACAGGCGCCCGACAGTCCGTGCCCCGCTGCACGGCAGCCACCGCCGAGCCGCGCCTGCGCCTGCGTGGGCCCTAGGAACGCGTGCCTGCTGAACCAGATCCGAGGATGTCGCGGGGCTCTCTCGGCCGTCTTCGATGCAAAACAATCTAGAGCCCTTGAGGATCCGTGGAAAGCGAGCGCAGGGGGCTCGATAGGGGCCGAAGAAGCTGAGAACGGCGAGCGCCTTGCGAAGTATTCTTCTGAACCTCGAGGAAGGACCGGCTTCTCAGTGAGAGCCTGCGCAGCGAGACCGCACGTGCTGTCGCAATCAGGGCGGCGAATATTGCACTCGCGCAGCCAAGCTCGGCAAACTAAGGTCTCGGGCATTTTGCGGCGGCGCGGGCAATCCACCCCAGCCGAATCGACTGCGTCAATATGTCGCTGTCTCGGCCACTGCCCGCCCGAGACAACGCGCGAGGTGAGGCCCCATGAATCTGCCTCACACCTATGGCCCATGGCGCTGAGATCCAATAGGGCAGCATGGAGGCCGCCTCTTTCTTTCGAGCTCTGCGCGAACGGAGGGCGTGCTTGATTCTGTAAAATACCCACTAACCAGCGGCTATCCTTTTGCTTCCGCCGCAAAGCAACCAACTCGACCCCCTGACCTCTAGAACACGTCAGCGAAGCTGCGCTACGGAGCGAGATAGAGGATCGCACGACGGCGGTTCAACTGCAAACGCGACGGGCATGCGTACTATAATACAAAAGCCGCGAAGCGACGAGGAAGTGGGCCAGATAAATGACACGGGCCACGCGAGTCGAGGCCCGAGGTCAGAACAAAATGGGACGCACAGGAGGCCAGAATAGGAGGAGGAGGAGAAGAAAGAGGAGGAGGAGGAGGGGGAAATGCTGTCACCACCATATGAAAAACGCTGCGCGGTTGACTCACAATGCGCATGCACCCCGCCGACGCCGCGGCCAATGGCACCCCGCACAGATACGGAGGAACGAATTCAGCAGAGAAGGGGGGAGATAGAGAGAGAGAGAGAGAGAAGAAGAAGAAGAAACAAAAAAAGAGAGAGAGAGAGAGGGAGAGAGAGAGAGAGAGAGACATATTAAACCACATGATAAGAATAAAGGAACAGAGAGAGAGATAAACAGAGAGAGAGAGAGAAACAAAAAAAGATAGAGCAATAAAGAGAGAGATAGAGAGATAAGGAAATATAAAGAGGAAGAGAAGACGCGAAAGGCAAACAAGCACAGGCACAGCGCAGCAGGGTAGCTGAGACGAGCAAGGTCAACCTCAGATGTCACTGCGCGCCAAAATCGCGCCAAGCATGGGCCCACCTAGGCGGCGCGCGGGCAACCCCGGCGCCGCGGCTGGGCACGGCCGCCGGCAGCTGAGCCGGGGCCCGACCGCAAACGACATATCGCAGACTATCAACTCACAAGAAACACCCTACAAACGACCGTCGCCACGAGGGGCAGGAGGAGGGGAAGAGAGCGGGGAGAGGGGGCGCTGGAACAAGGCACAGGCGCGGCTCAAGGACTCGCCATCCGATTCGGTGCCAATGGATGCCAGAGCCCGATTCTTTTACCGTCGCAGCGCTCGCCGCTCGGCGTCAGGGTCGGGATTGGAGCGGAAGTCGGGGCCCGCGCCGAAAAAGAAATCGCTGATGAAGCCGGCTCCAGGGTTGGAAACGAAGCCAGGGTCTGGGCCAGAACTGGCGGCGAAAAAGAATTCGTTCCTGGGGCCCGAGGGGGAGGGGGCCAGCCTACTCATGTCCCCAACGCATTCAAGTTAAAGTTAGAGACCTAGACTTGGCAGGATTGAAAGCCTCGGCCTGAGTAGTCAGCAGTGGCTCAAGATGTCACTGTCACGATATCTCGCACATCATTTTTCACTGCCGCTCTGGTGCCCCGACGAGGGGCCAAAGGTTTGGCTGGTCGCGCGTGCGGCTCGGTCAGCGCGCACGGCCCAGCACGATGGCAGGGCCCTGCAACACTCACCCAACCTGCCAGAGAAAAACGCATTTCTCCCGACTGGCGTCAGCCGCCTCTCTGTCGGCGTCTCTGACGCTTGGCCCGCTGCGCTGCCTCAGCACTGCGGGGCTCTTCAGGAACGCCACCCGCCCGTGCCGAAGACGTCGAGGAGGCGCTGGACTCGTCGTAGCCTGCGAGCTCCTGCAGGCGGGTGGTGAGTGCACTCCGGAGGCCCTTGAACTTCTTGAGCTGGACGCCGGCGAGGCTGGCGAGGAGGGCAGCCGACGGGTCGGTCCAAAAGACGGCGCCCTCCTGCTCGATGTGACGCCCCGCCTGCGCTCGATGCCTCACCAGCTCATACTGCTTCGTGTAGCGCTGGACGGCCGCGGCCGACTTCCAGCGGCCGCGCCGTCGGGTAGCCTCCAGCGTCTGGCCCGACTCCACGAAGTCAGCAGAGCCCGAGTGTCGTAGCCCATGCGGCGGCCCGCTCCACTCCAGGTTGAGAGCCCGCAATGCCGTCCACCAGGTCTTCCGAAAGGAGGCGGCAGAAAGCGTGAAGAGCAGGTCGCCGTCGGCAGTCACGTCCACCACGCCCTGCAGGAGGGCCTTCACAAACTGGAAGCGGAGCACCACCCCTTGGTCACTGCCCGTCTCGACCGTCTCGCCACGCGCTCGTACTCCCAGCGCCAGACTCGCCGACGATCTGTCAAACGACACATCCATGGTCCTGAGCAAGCTCCAGTCCTGCTCTCTCAGCAGGCAGTCGAAGGAGAGAAGCACCAGGACGCCCTCGTAGATCATGTTGCCGCGCAGCATCCACAGCGCGACGCAGGCGATGGAGGCTCGGTCGAGGGGCTTCCCCTCGCCCTGCGCAGCCATCCTGAGCCAGGACTTCAGCGCGCGGGCCGACTGCGGCATCTTGTCGCGATGGTCCTCGTAGATGAGCAGGAACCCGAAGAAGACCGCGTTGCCGACGCCCTCGCTCTCGCGGTGCAAGTAGCACAGCGCCGACAGGTAGTTGGCCATGGCGGCGTCGCGCTCGGCGAAGCTGTCGAAGGCGACCTGCTGCCGCTGCGCGTCCTGCAGGAAACGCCTGACCTCCTTGACGCAGCGTCTGTTAGTGTTGTCGTCCACGGCGTGGACGCACAGGCGGTTGGCGTAGCGGAGCACGTCGTCCTTGGCGCGCTCCCAGGCTCGAGCCCCTCGCCCAGTCAACGGCGGTGGGGAGCTCGGGGCGAGGCGCCCCGAACCCCGACGGCGGGGCGGGGGCGAAGTCGCCAGGGCCCCGTAGTTGGCCATGTGTATGCAG